TGATATCCAGCGATATATGTTGGAAGCAGCTCATCCAACTTTTGAATGTCGAGTATAAAACAATCCGGAGAGCGATCAAAAAAAGTTATCCCACTACTGCATAGCGCAAGATGTCATGCTCATAATCCATCAACATTATGAAAACGTGGTATCTTCCTTCGTCTTCCTTTGTTTTCTTTCACCATTCCTTGAAAATCCCGAAATTCCAGGGTTTAGTAGTGGTAGCAACCATTAGTTGCGCTCTCGACATACTTGAATGTATCTTCGAGATTTCCACTGTGACTGGTCTCGACACCAAAAAGTATCCAATTATCGATTTGATTCATCAACATGTGAGTCCTTCGAATTGGTGAAGAATTTGTTTTGCTAGAGCTCTGTAATTTCATGGGTTTCAGTACACTTTCTGCGTGTACCTTATTCTATCGATGAATGCCTACAGTATCATGTTGTTAAGCAGGCCGCTACGCCAAGCAGCACTGCGTTTCTGTCGCTCGCGAAAGATCTCTGCGACATCAATGGGCGCAAATCGTCCTGGAAGCGCGAGCACATTCGCGCAAAGGAGGGATTTTTCGTGGACACGCTAATTATGAAATAATATGGTCCATCGAGCTCTCCACTGTTGGGTTAAGTTAAACAAATGACACTAGTTCCGAGCGAGATCTAAAGTAGACTATAATTTCTTCAACTACGACATCTACGAGTTTGCTCAACGGGGTTTCATGAATTGCTTTGAATGTTTAGTATCTTGAACTTTGCATAAAGATTTGTTAAAATGTGTAACTTCACATTTCAATGCGTTGAACATCTAGACTTGGAGAATTCGTTCAGTTTTGCTGTGATTTCTCAACCGTCGTTGGACCCTCCTAGATAGGAGCACTGACACACTATCTTGGGCATCAAAAAAGCTGATGTTGCAGATCCCGAAGTCCCGATGTTGCCTCAATTTCCGATTGAATACGATCGAGTCGGTTTGATTCGATCTTCTGCATTCGAACGAGCCCGCAATGCCCTTATTGTTAGTCCACAGAGAGCGTTAAAAAAGATAAACCAAGCATTACAAAGTACCAATAGCTCGCTAGGAGTAGTGTTTTTAGCATTTCGAGGGAGGAACCGCTTACAGTCACTTCGTAGTTTCAATGAGCAACGGCCCTTCCTCATTCCAGCGTACAAATTCCCTTGGGCGCGATTGCATCTGGAGCACCAGATTCTTCTACACAGGTCCGAATTGTGCATCCGGAAACAACTCGTAAAGTAATTAGTACGGGGTCAACTGCGTCGCGCACGCAAAGTACCTCCTTTTTTGGTGAGGCCAAGCCGCACAAATCTGGAGCAAGACATTTTTGCAGAGACTGGGGGCTGTGTCCCCCTTTCTTTTGTCTCTTCTTATGCCAGTGTGGTTGGTCGAAGAATATATCCTTTTGTAGTCTGGGAAGTACTGGTAAAGCGACGGCGACAATGCTCAAGAAAGAAGGTGTGAAGAGCTCCCATCACAGCGCGATACCCGTTCTGAGCTGTTGCATCAAGAGGTAAAGGACCAAACATTTCGGGCACAGAATTGTAGAAGACGTCCTAATAGATGAACGAAAGAGTGTTCGATTTCATCAGCAGAATGTGGGCACAAATTTTGTAAACTGGCGACTACTGGACGATAACTTAGTAAAAACTTACTGGTTTGAAATCTTCACTTCTCACTCGAAATACTGTACGTGCTTCGTCTGTTCTACTCGTTTATGGGGAGAGGGGGTGCGCAAAGCAAAAATCTCCTATGAGTATTTGGAGCGAAAAAATACGCTTCGTAAACTCAAAAAGAATGCTTCCTACTAAAAATTGAAGGACACATCCAACCCGAAAACGATAGCAGTCTTCTACGCCATATTTCAAAAGAAATAGTTCTCCATGGAACGTCCATTAAAGGTGGCACCCTGTGCGACGACATGTTTTCTGATGTGTCAGAGCTAAATGACTTCCTTTTTTTCCCCTGATATCCATCTTTCTCAGCTCACTGCAGTTCCAACGAGGAGAAAATTGTTATTAATGTAACCAATGATTCAGGCTTTCTCAGAGTTTCTGATAAATAAGCAAGCTGTGGGTTAAGCTTCTCTAAATTAGGGCTGTCTTGTTTTTTTTTCACTGTTACGATACGGTACACTTCTATAGAATCGGACAGGAAGAGACTCGATTTTGATTGGTCACGTGACTGGCCAAATTGAGACTTGAGCTCTTGCTAATTTGGAGGTTCGCAGAAACGTGGAAATAGGGAGGTATCGCCATGAATTACCACAAAGGCAATTCATGACGAACAGAATGTCGTCTCAAAATGGGCAGGCTCCTCCTCCTTTTGCTATCCTCGTTATCCTCCACGTGCTCACACCACTATCACTGAAGGACAGATTTGAATTCTCAATACAACATTTCCTCAATTTCCTTTGTGTATACTTCTTTACTTTCCCTTTTACGGTAGCTACGGTATTCTTCTAAACTCGGTAATAGAATAACAAAGAATGTCGATCAATCCCTATCAACAGCCAGCACTTGACTTCTGTTGAAAGCGTCGGTATGAACCACCATTTTGGCCTCCAAGTGACTGTAAATAGCATTCGGTCCTCAACGTAGCTTCTCTACTGCCCAGAGAGTCTAGTACAAATCGGTCGATCAACTCCGAATGGATGAAATGAATCAGTGGCCAAGGCAAGATATGTCCAAATTTGGAAGACACGCCGTGTCCATGGTAAGCTCCACCATTCTCGCTAACACTCCCTATAACGCCTGAGTAGCCTAAAAGCTGAATTAGCGATGAAAACGCATCCCACCAGATTCAAGGTAGAGGACGTCCATGGTGCACTGATGGAGAAAAACAAAAAAAATGACCTAGATGCCCAGAAGTGGGACCCACATACACCCGTTGATTGACTTGTTAGGCGTGACTCATCACTGATTACCACATTAGCGCTAGCACCTGCTAAACGGCTCGAGTCAGAGGACGAGAGGGTAGATTGACAACGGCGAAAGCAGCGCGGGGCAGCCATTTTAAACCACCGGGCATACATTTCACTGGGAACTGCACGTCGGTCTGCATCCATGAGGACTACGATTGCCTTTTCACTAAAGTGGTTCAATCTTCGTTGACCCCCGACGTTATGGAATCCTCCTCTGAAGGAACCGTTCACGGAAAATTCCAGCATTTTTACCAATGTGAATACGTCAGTTGTGAACATTGAAGACGAGCGAACGTATGGAAAGAGAAGCGCTCTAGGGCGATTACGTATCAGGCAACGCATTGAAAGAATAGGGCAAGGCTCATAGGTGGGAAAGGCCAAAAAGAAGAAGAATGATGAATACAGGATCGAGTGGAATTGTCCCCTTCACCAACATTTGTGACAGACGCGCGGTGGCAACTTGAAAGCCTTACTTGATAGTCCTTCCGGTTCCTTAATTTGTTTACCAGAACAATCGAATTTTTGTTCTTCACTTTCTCATTGTAAATGATAGTATTAAACCAGCGCTTTATTGGTGAGGTACAATTATGATTTTTTCATGGCCTTGCCATGTTCTTTAGGCACACCAGTGCACTGAGCATATACCATCACCACTTGCACATGTTCGTTATTATGATAGAATAAATTAAAATATGATCTGGGAAGCCTAGGAGCTTGCGATGTTTAGCTTTGAATCAGATCAATGTTATCATCGATAAGAACGTTTCATTAGATGTCTTTCTTTTAGAATGCGGCCAGCTTTATGACAAATTAGCCTACTGCAAAGCAAGGCCTTAAATGGCTTCCGAACTGATGGTTTATTTTCGATAAATACTATGATTGTTTGAAAACCAACAAATGTACTTCATATTCCTCTTTCTTTCCTCAATTTCAGAATGAACTTCTGGGCGGCCCTCGTTGATTTCCAGCTAGTCCTCTCTATTCTGACAATTATTTACTACCTTTACGTCATAGTTCTCATGCTCACCTCCAAATCTGTAGTGTTTCAATCGGCATTTTTCACAATCTTCATCTTTACCGGTAAGGTTCATAATATTGAGAATTCCTAGCAAGTAGCAGCAACTATAGCCCCTGAGATTTTTTGCATGAAAGTCGTACTGCTTGTTTTGCGTGATTGTTTAGCGCATTTGAGATGTCAAGAAATTATCACAGTGCAGTGTAATGATTGAAGGATAGTTTTGCACGAGTTTCGGGCAACTTGTGAAAACGCGAGAAGTAGGCGGAATCATAGCATGTACCGTTTCAATATTTATACAGTGCGCTTCAAAGCTATAAAAGTACCCTTCAAATGTGTTGTTCCGGATTGGCATGGAGGAACCAAGGCTTGCTACCGGCTTCGTTAAATTCAGCATGCCCCGAAACTATTTTTTTCTAGAACGAAACCTAAAAACCTTCTAGAACGAAACATAAAAACATTCTTATAAGATGAAGGATCCTACATTCTTATAAGAAAATTTTGAAACGCCTCCTGGTTTCGAAAGTATTATATTAGGTTGAGCAAAAATCATTCGTCGGTTTTTTCAGGCTCATGGTTCTTTGGTTTTTTGCTGATTATTTTCAAAGATAATCATGTAGTCTGGGAGCGCGCAATCTCTTGTACATTTTGATACACAACAGTATCCAGTATGAGTATCCACGCGAGCAGAAAAAGATTGCTCGTGCTACATGAGTGCAAGTTGAGCTCGAAATAGAATGCTTCTGTTTCGAAGCTGAGGGAGTTATTGGTCAACAACTTCCCTTTGGTGTCCCAAAGCTCAAAATTTTTATACGCACAGACGCCTTCCATGCAAGTTAGGCATCGGATTAGTCAAAAAATCTCTGGCTGTTGATAAGTATTATGTATATCTATATTCAGGCATTTTCGATATAATGGGAATACTGGCAATCGAATGGGTAAGAGCCGATGGCAGAATTGGCTTCGGTGAGTTTTAATACACCACTCATCATTCTTGATATAGCTTTTGCTATCTCTAAAAGCCCATCCCATAAGCAGACTGGTGTGACTTTCGCACACAAATGAATCCGAACTCGGCAGCTTTGGGAGAAAACGAATAGGTCGAAAACTACAGATCAAGGGTTTTGCTGAAATTAAGGGCCTTCTTTTTTTAATTCGGCTCTGCTAAGGCGATAAGACAATACGAATCGAGGAGAGAGGATAGGCGAGAAATTCCAACTTGTGAAGGAAGGCAGAGGCCCGCATTTTGTAGAATAACCATCTCGTCACCAAATTCCTGCTCCTCCCCCCCCCCTCCTCGAAAAATTACCGATAAAATGCCGACACCTATCAGGGTGCCGCAAAAGTTTTGCTAGTGAAACAAATTCTCAGTTTAAAAACTTTTTCTTGATCGCGCTCCTCTGTGGAGAATTTCCCTTTACAATTTTTTGACGTACCACTCACACCTTCTGGTCAAGGCATCGCTTTCCTATAGGAGTTCATCTGAAGCTTGCAGCATCATAATTTCCAATCGTGTAACAGCCCTGCAATTTGAATCGTTGTTGGTGCTTGTATCCGACTTGTTGGTAAGAAAGTGACATAATTTTGAAATAGAAAAGCGACGTTATTCGGATGGAACATATGGAGCATCTTTCGATTAAAGGAAGCGATCACGCTGGCTTCCACGTGGATTTGCTATCCTCGCGTTATCAATCGATAAGGTGTGAGGCAGTAATTGTTGGACGAGTGTAAGCCCATGGAAGATATGATACGATGAGATAAGAAGGTGCGGCTGCTTGATAAGAGGTGCACTCCAGAATGAAAACGGGACGATAACGATAACGGTATCATATCTAGCACGCTCTTATCGCACCCCTTTCCACATCGATAAGTCTTGGTTTTTGCTGATCCGGAAGTGGATTTCGGCGCCTTATCACTCCGTTGATAAGGCGCCACTGCCACTGAAACTTCACGTGTTGTAACATTGGGCAGGACCCCTACTCCAGTACGTAACTTTCCTTATCGTCACCATAGGAATTATCGTAACCACTTCATTTAAGGTACTGATACGTATCACTAATGAATACATCAGTGGAATTTAGTGATGAATAGACTTTTCTCTTTTTTGTGACAGCCTCATACAAGCAGCCAGTTGGCCACTAGGAGCATTGGTTCTTGTGGCTAACTGCCAGATCAACTTTAGCCTCAGTGGAATATGATCTCTTTGTGCCCGACAGCTAGGTGCGTTTGCAGTGCAGACTGACCAACACAAATGACGAGATCATTCATAGAAATCTGATGATTCATAGAGATATTAGTTGAAATTAGTGACAATTACCCTAATTTCCGGTAGATAAGCCCGCGCCAATATCACGTAAAAACACCTCCGCTCGTGCAGTGTAATTTTGTACTTAGAAACTACCGCAAATTTGCCTATAGAGGTAATTCGATGCCCTGATCACGAAAATGACTTTCATTTTCAGCGCTGGCGCCATCTGGCGCCAGTTGGCGCCACCTTGTCACGACCTTGTTTTCGTCAAAATTCGGTGTAAACTTCGTATAGGGGTTATTTGGTGTCCTGATTACGAATATGACATTCATTCTCGGCGCTGGCGCTATTTGGCGCCTATTTTCTGCTCGTCTGCGCTCTCCAACCGAGAAATATGCGTTGAACAACGTTAATGCCAAAAACGAATGTCATATTCGTAATCAGGGCACCAAATAACCCCTATACAGAAGTTTACACCGATTTTGGTGAAAACAAGGGTCGTGACAAGGAGACATCAAATGCGCCGACGCTAAGAAGAATACCGTTTTCGTAATCAGCATATCGAATTACTCCTGTGGATTACGTTTCTAGAGTACCCAAGTGCACTGTACCAGGCGAAATTTGGCATTACAAATGATATTGAACGAGGACTTTATCTATGCGAAATCAGCGGGGAAACAGGAAAACTCAACGTCCAGTAGACTGCGTTTTGGGAGACCAAATTGTTCACATGCTGTGAGTAGCTCATGTTTGGCCGATGTCAGACTTTGCGAATCGCGCGATTCGCTAGCGTCTGCGGTCGCGTCGCGGCCAGTGAATCACTCAATTGGCTGGTACCGCAACGCGACCGCGGACGCTAGCGAATCGCTAGTAGCGAATCGCGCGATTCGCAAAGTCTGACATCGGCCTTATGTTGCTCGCGCTTGCACATCTGGCGCACTGGCTGTCGAACACAAACGGTACAATGAATCTTTTTCAGGACCTCAATTTGAAATAGTGACTCGTATAGCGGGTGCTTTGACTGGCACCAACTTCTTCACCCACATCATTGGATGTTTCATGATGACTGCAAATCGATACACAGCTGCATGTCATCCTGAGAAGTACGACACGGTAAGACTTAATGGTGAATGTCTGAAAATATTTCACCAAGTCCTTCAAAAAACATTTCGGGGTCAAATTCGAATGAAGTGCAACTAGTTCATTCTATTTAATTGTAACGGACTCCTTAATCAAGTACAGAAACCGCCGATTCGTGCATCTTTTGTGCAACGCGATTTTTCTCACAGGTCAAAAGTGTTGAAGGCCCCGAAATGTTCAACATACATAGGTTACTTTACTTTTCGATCACCTCTGGAAAAAATTTCTATACCAGGCTTTACGGCTTTTTACTGCTTATGAGGATCCTTCGAGTAAAATTTTCCAGTGCTGGTCAAGAAAGATTGTTTATGTGCTGTTGTTCTCCGATTTTCTCATTTCATATGGTGCGAATTCAAAAGTTTTTCTCGTGCGATATCTCTATGCAAATCAAAACGGTCAGTGGGTGCGCACTGGACGAGAAAGGAGCATACCGGTGAATATGCGCTATTTTGTCATCACACCTGTAACAATACGACATTTGAACTAGCGATAATTTAGAGAATGATATCTTGAGTTAACAATTAGGCTCCTAAATTGTATAAATCCGTTTCCTAGGAAATTCGCATAATGGCGACCGTTGCCAGTGTTCTTTATGAAGTGCTGAGCTCTGTACTGATTGTGAGGACTCTCTATGCTATTAGAGTAAAAGTGAGCAGCACACAAAAAGCGAGCCAGGAATACGTAAGTTCCCTAGCTTTTCAGATTGGGCGCTGGTCTCCAAAACTCATACCCATGGACGGAGGCATGCAGTATACGACAAAAAAGCAAACCACGGAACAGTGTGGTAGTTTACTTTTTTGTCGTGTACTGCAAGTGTGCAGACCTCCACATGCATTGCTGACCGGAGCGCAACCTGACGACGCTGTCGTTCAATGTGTTTATCACAAGTTGTCTCTGAGCCAGTAAAGGGTAAACAGTGCTTTTGTAAGTGTAAACAGTACGGCAGGCTTGAACATTGGCTTGTCCCGTAGCCTATTGTGTACTGCTTTGTTGAATTCGTCAAAGCATGGTAGAATGCTGCTTCTCTAAAGTGGTAAAGTCATTCGGTGAGGATCGACACAATATTCCATCTCCGGGCCGCAAGCGAGATGATTAGGCTTATTGCCAGCGCTCCACCTTCGCTTGACGAATTCTGCATATGAAACAAGGAATCCCCTTTCCACAACTTCCTTGTATA